AACTCTGCCGTAAGCCGTTGCCAGCTCTAATTCAGGAAACCATCAAAATGGTGCTAGTAATGAATCACTCATGTGGTAATCACGACTGGGATTTCAGTGTGGCATCAGATGATGAGGTTGCAAGTCTGATTATCAATGCATCTGGCATGAGAAACAAGGATGAACTGTTGCATGCTGGCTATCTAATCATTGAGAGTACAGCAGTTTGGGTGCATACTCGAAGTTTAGAGAAAGCCGGCGGTGGTTGATGTACCAACTATAATGCCCGAGGATTCACTGTAAGACACCTCTTCTGTTAGCAGTGTTGACGCTATGACGGTGATCCACGGGTTCCACCGTGTTTCTCCAAGAAAAAAATCGACGTAGCCCTCATTAGTTTTAACTGTAGCTACTAAGCCTATGATACCCCCCGAGAAAGCTTTGAACGCCCCAACACGAGGCTCAGGGACTCCCTGATAATGTTCAGCGTAGTCTTCCAGAATGTTGGAAAGACACTGGACAAAGACCCCTCAATAAGTCACGTGCATGATCTGAAGCTGGCAGAGTCGGCCATAGACATCTAGAGGAGTACACAACTTAAGAGAAGTCAGGCTGGGTAAGAAAGGATAAAAAACCTTATGAGAGGAGGATTTGGAAGGTCATCCCGGGCGACAAAGAAGAAGTGGATGTAATCTTGAGTAAGGCATCCAAATTGTGATTGTTGGGCACCCGAATCCGGCTTGACTAGCTTCTCAATGGAAAAAGGAAGAGCTCTAGCCAAACCTAACGCTAGACACAGTAGTAGGTAGAACAACCTTAAAGTTGCCGGCTTTCGGGTTGTGAAGTTTTGAGCACGAATGCTTCAAAGGCCTGTATGGGTGGATCAGGAAGCTCCAAACACTGCAGGCTTAGTTCACACCGATTTTCGTGGCTTTGGAGGCAAAATGACGGGCCTGGGTCCTGATGGAGTAGCTCTTACTGAGGTTTGGCTAATGAAGAAATTACGTTTTACGCCCCCTTTAACAGAGCGCTGCTGTTTAGGGACAGATATTGATCCGCGTCGCGGAGGTGGCGGTATACCACTGTATATCCGTGATGGCTTCCACGTAAGATAGTTCACTTCCTAACACATGATTGGAGCACCTGCGAAGTGGCCAGCTGTGAAGTAAAGCTAGAGCAACGTTTCTTTACTGTTGAGGTGATTTATGTAGTCTGTCTTGCCTTGCAAATGACCTCGTAATAACCCATATACGTAGCCGGAGTACAAGCCACAGATGCTTAATACTTGGGGATCTGAATACTCAACACAAGATGGACAGAGTTGACGGTTTTAGCCTCAAACAGTTCTTTCGAAAACGGTTCGCTTCTAATGGCACTAAAATCTGCTCTAGTTCAAAATGTCGCCTGTGTAACAAGATTTGTTTTCGGACACAAGCAACCATCATTAGATTCAGTCTTAACCCACAAATATGAAGCCATTACGGATCTATGCTGGTTCCCTCTGCCAGCTAACGACCGTCACGTAGTGCTCATACTCGGTTCTAAGCGTTACTTGCTACCACCTGCCTTTTTGCAAGGAGGATGGTGAATCTTGCCCGCTAAATTGCCAACTTCCCCTTTTCATTTTGTCTTCATATCTATTTATTGTCTCAAAAGTACGATTACGTGGATTCCTACTTACCAGAAAGTTTAACCAGAATGTTGTCAAGGTGCAGATATTCTCCTGCTTTGAGCTTATAAGATGCAGTTATATAGACAATTTTTGATGAATTATGTGGTGTGTATGTCATCATCTCTCTTTGTATTTAAAGTGGACCATTTCCGACAAGGCATACTACATTTTTCTCACATTTTTTCCCCAGAAATGCAAATAGACTTATCCTTGCGAGAAAGTGACACGTGTGGAAGCCTTGAATACCCATTATCTCATTCTATTCTGTACATTAGTTCTGCTCACATAAACCTGTTGACTATCTTTGAGAAGGGAAGCTTTACAAGTGAAAAGTGTTAAAGTGGTATAAGTACATGGTCACACCTGTAAACCGGTATGTACTTGTGTTTGCAGTAGTAAATTATTATCATTATTTTTGTCTACGATACTTGCCTCCTCTAACCAACAGCTATTACACGGTGCTAACTTTCGGTTTTCTAACGTATGAGCTTGGTTACGATACTCCTTCTCCTAGGCCCAATGTGTGGCGCGCAGACATTTCAAGTATATTGGATTACTCACTCGGTAAGGATTGGACCGTCGACGAGAACTCATCAATTGATAACGCCTGGGAGGCAATGACGCCATTTATTTTATGGTTGACTCCACGAAAATCCTTACACCGCCCTTCGCGGAATAATAAAGACACCCAGAAACTATTAGGACGGAAGAAATGTCCATAGAACTCGTTTATAAAAAATTGACCGGAGACATTTAAAACTGGGCACTGCAAAGTCCGTAATTTCTGCGAAACTGCGATAGCACGCTCCCGAACGTCCTACGAGAAACAGCCTGTAAATGATTGCCAAAACTGTCCCAGAAGACTGCTCGTAGTCATCGGAAAGGCTAAAAGAGTGTTGAGTCCCGTCTTTGGCGATGGATGGAAAGTCTGATAGTCTGGTAGAATCTAATCCGGTCAAAGCTGAATCTCTATCTAATCACCTTGGCGAAGTCTTTTCAGTGGCTCTTGATGACAACGTGCTCAGTGGTGGTTTCAGCACTACCCAGCCAGTGGATACAGTGTCCATAACCACGAAAACAGCATTAAAGTTGGCCATTAACCATAGTCCTGGAAAATCCCCGGGTCTCAATGGCATGCACCCCAAAATTCTATCTTTGGCAGGGGAAATTGTTGCTGATCCAATATGCCCCATCTCAGACTTGCTGCCCTAGAGACTAGAAAGGTCCCATGGTCAGACCAGTTTTAAAGTTGGTAGTCTCCAGCTGGTGGCTTACAACCGTCCTGTAGGTCTGACTAGGATAGTTATTAAGGTTTTGGAAAACATGTTGAATCAGATAATTTTTTCACACCATAGCAATACCGTTTTCGAACTGGATAGTCAGACTTCAGAAACCCTCTCACCATGACAGGAATAGGTGGCAGTCCATGATTGCAAGCCACCAATAGGTAGTGTACTTAACAGCCTTCAGAAAAGCATGTAAAATTATCGGAAAAGTTTGTTTCCTTAGGGTTTGGTGCTGTACTGTAAGCCTGGTTCAGGGAGTTTCAGTTGGGCAAAGATCGACCAGTGAGGGTTAATAGGATATTGCCCCGGCGGAAACCTGCGATGAGTGGAGTTTTTCGAGCGACAACCATAGATCTACTGCCCTTCTTGTTGTATGTCAACGAATTACCACACTCGCTCAACTCTTCAGTGCTGCCTTTCGCCGATGGTGTAAAAGTTCGGAGAGCCACACGTAGTGATGTTGATGAATGTGCATTTCAAACGGATTTGGGTGAACTGGTCGGTCGGTTCAAACGTTTGCACCTGGAAATCAACTCCATAAAAGTGCAATAATGCGCATTAGTCATAGCACTTGTTTCCAGCAGTCCGTTTACGGTACACCACCACTCCATGTTCCTGGACCGAAAGACTTTAGTGTCGCAAGTAGTGATTTGAAAACTTTGGCACAGTGTAATTCATGCTGCGGCAAAGAGCTTCCATGTATTATGGTCCACCTCCAGAGCTTTCAAAGGTTTTGACCAAGATATGTTCAGAGTACTTTATTCTACTCACGTTAGGCGTTATTCGGAACACCGTATCCGGACGGTCAACCTATTCTTAAAAAAGGAAACTGACGTGCTCGAGCGCGTTTAGACGGTAGGTACTAAGCTTGTGGTAAGCCTTTGAAATCTGCTCTATGAGGAGTGAATGGGTAGGCTGAACTTATTCACACAGTCCTACCGTAGCGAAAGGAGTGATATACTGGCATTCCGCATCATTAGAAATGACTTCGGTACCTATGTGTCCTCTCTTTCCCCCCGAACTAGGACTTATTGTTACCAAAAGTATGACAGGAAAACCCAAAAGCAAATACTGAATGGATTTGGCGTGGACCTGCTTTCCTTCCATCATGTGGCCAACGACTTGAACTCCTTACTCCAACCAGTAGTATCGGTACCTTCAGTCAATGCATTCAGTGAGAAACCAGGTCTTCACAGAGATATCTTCTGAAAAAATTAATACAGGCCGATTGGCCTACTATCCCTGTGACTGAAAAGGGAAAACTGAAACTGACAGATCTCTAATCGTCATAGCAACCTGTAGCTCCCTAACCACTCTACAAACTACAACTATTAACCCACAAAAACACCCGCCTCGCCAGGGCTAAAATCAAGAAAGCAGAGAAGATTTCCTCGCCTATTGCAGGAGGAAACCAAACAACTCGATTTAAGTCCCAGGTACTAGACACGACAGATCGAAAGTGATCAGTTTACCTAGCTCGAACTATCAATGTTGGATGTTGCCGGACACCATTCACCAGACAAGAAAAAATTTTGCGAAAGCCATCTTGTGAATAGAACATGAGAACATGGAACTTTGTGATGGTGTTTGTAAGACAAAATCAGATGAGTTATGATTTGAAACCAAAATGTGTTTAAATGGTAAACATTTCAAAATTTTAAGGCTGAATTTTCACCGTGTGTTTAACTTATTTTTGGTTAACGCTCTCAGTGACAGTAAAAGTCATCTGAGCTGTTACTAAGCTTCATTTTTCCAAGTTTCGCCGGACATTTTTCCATTGAGATAAGAATTTTAGGTAAAAATTACTTTCACCAGCTGTAACGTTTCAAGTTATTTCTTGCATATGCTTTGGGATAAAGTTCATGAGTAAGGGCAATATATTGCCAATAATGTCCGTATATAATTGTCTTTTAGTAATAAATTTTATTTGACCGTCTTTTGACCTACATTTTACTTCTCAGTTGAATATTTACAATTATTTTTTCAGGTAAAATTTTCACTTGAGCACTATTACAAACACTGTCGATCAAACCAACAATGATAGTAACAAGTGAGGTACCGATATGGGAATAAAAACTTTGGTTCATCGGAAAATTAAAAAGTACAGACTTTTTATCGTCAATATGCCGATGTGGAAGACAAAAATGGTAACATGTTACCGAGACACAAATGTGTCTCGGTTGTTTTTAAGTATTTTAAGCATGCTAATTATCATGAGCTTTTCACATAATCCGTTAAATATGTGGTATGTTTCTTAACTTGAAACTATGTGTATATACCTGGTTGTTTTCCCTCAGCCTAGTCGTTAGAAGGGGTCTGAATGGCGTCGAAGCTTGCTAGGATGCACCCGATATCCAATATTTTTCTAACGAGCTTGTGTAAACCAGTTGGTTTCTTCATGCCCATTTCTTGGTCATGCGGTCTTGCGTACTCATCAAAACAAAACTTGAAACACCTTGAGCATCTGAAAGCGGTCTAGATGTTTGTCTCGGAAACAGTGGATCGTAAAACTTAGGCAATAAGTTCTATTCGCATACTTAAAGAAGTCTTCGGTGACTGGTGATTACTAGCCTGTGTAGATCGTGACAATTATTCTCTTAGTTTCACTGTTTAGCCAGAATGTCTTCGTTTTGGAAATGTGGCTTGTAAGCTTAAAAATTTGAATTTCAAGTAATGACTCCCATGGTTTGAACCTCATTTAACCTACTTTAGTTGTGCAGTTATGTCGTATCATACGTCTCCAAGAAACAAGCGTGGCTTATAGTCTGCTACATAAACATGTTCCTGAGCTGTTTGTTATTTTTCACACATAGTTTCTCGATTACTATGTTGTGTCGTAGACTTTTCCGCTTTTGTTTTTGTAGTCTTCGGCGGTGGAAACTTGCTTGTTGTGTTTAGTTCCACATCTTATATTTCATGATTATGGCAGCCAGTACATTTTGAGATTTTTTGTTGAATAAAGATCTTGAAAAAACATTACCACGTTTTTCTAGATGCGATAGAAGGTAGACGGGCAAGCTGAATAGAAGATGGTTTAATAAATGTTATCTTAAATAGACCGTTAGGAATTTTTTGAGCTGTTCAACCAATAAAGTGATCATTGCGGTATAATTTATACAAGATTTGTAAATTCACAAATATTCGCATAGAGTTCGACTCCTATGTTTATATATCAGCTCTCTGGTTGGATGGTAATTTGTACCTACGTGTTTTTAAGTCTTGAATGACGATATTTCTCCATGTGAGTAGATTTTCGGAGCACATATTTTAGGCGTGCCATCAGTTTAACACTTCATATTAATAAACCAAAAGGATGTCTTGGCAGATTAACTATTGATACTTTTCTGTCGTTAGTTGCGGCAAAATTAGGCTTTTTGTCCACGTTTATGATTCGTTGACTAAACAGTACAATGCAGTAAAATTCTTTATTGTATGACACCTATTGTAAGTTTATCTATGCTATTTATCTACAGTTCCTGTTTTCACACTTATTTTTAATACTTTTTCAATTCTGTTATGTCTAGCAACTTTTAGGTAGCTACCTGTTCTTATACCAGTGTTGTATATGTTCACTATATAAAGCACGTGAAAGCGCATACCGCATAGTTCTGTTTCATATCCGTTGATCCAAACCACTTCATTGCTATACATTAGTTTTGATGTTTCAGAAACAAATCATTGTGCATTATTACAACAAAGTATTGGCGAGATCTCTGATACTTGATTCCTATTGCTTTCTTTTGATGTGTCTAGAGGCGATAGTTTGTGCAAAGTACATCAGGCTGTAGGCAGAAGTGTCACTCATAGCTACATCAAATGAGCAACGGTGACACCGATTTGCATTTCGTTGCAGTGACTGACAGACTGACCAAATCAACATAGGACCTTGCACACAACTGCTTCGCCTCAAGTCACCAAACTTCACAGTGGTATACAAACATCAGGTGCACAGAAAAAGAACAACACCAAAGTAGAAGTTGTGGGACACAATAAACAACCTGAAGATAGAGGTTAAAAGACGTCAATAGGGTCAGTAGATTGCCAACATTATCATCGACTTCCAGCCATCTCACCAAAAGTCCTCCACAAATATTGATTCCTTACATCTCATCAACCCCAACCAGACAGACTGCATCTACCAACACAACTCAAACCATCAGTCAACGAATTCGTCGACTGGTGTCACATCTTCATCTGGTCGACGTGAACCACCCTACAACCTAATCCAACATCCCGTGACAAGGCACATCAAGGTAGGTGGTGTATCACTATGTGCAGTGCATGTCTAAGACATTTCTCAGTCGACTAAAGTTCACAATCTCATTAATCGACTTGGGTGTCTCACCTATTGCTCTTCTCCGGACTTCGCCACTGGTTACTGTGAAATTCCAGGAGACATGAAGAATGTTGCCAAGTCATCTGTGATCAAAATCCTGTAAACTATGAATATCATGCTGATGGAACCTTGCTACTATCTTAGTTTCAGTCATTGATCATCCACACATACTCACATGCATTTTTAAATCAAAGTATATCTCTAGAAGTAAATCGGTTGTCAAATATCGTTTATCGTAATCATCTGTTCTTCTGACTAGGATCAAATCATTCCTTTTACTTGTTTCAACAGTGGAGTTTAATCGACTTAGTAGGCTATATGCTATTGTTCTCAACAAAGCGATTATTCGAGTGATTGTCTAAGTCTACAGTGTAACCTGTAAATGAGTTAGAGATTACTCAGCTACATGCTAGTACTGGAACTCATTCTAATTGGATTGATAAAAATGAGATATTCTAAAGTTTTCAACCCTTTGTGCTTATTTTATCTGCTTTATGTCTCTAACAATTCAATACTAATGTGAGTAAACAACTTTCCAGTTCTCAAACAATTAAAGACAGTATCAGATTACACGAGAATGTTTCCTTAACAGAGTTAACTACTAACTAATTTTGATCTCATATAAAAACATAATATTTTCATAAAATCTTCAAACTAATTCATAAATAAACAAAATACATTGATTGTTACATGGTTGGAAATGTAATAAAATTCATTTGATAGTATTTTGTTACACAGATATTCTAGTCTAGTAATTACGTAGAAATGATAATGAAATACATATATTAGTTTTCAACCACCCATTTATCGGTTAGTTAGTTCACTAATACCCCACATAAAGCAACCATTTGATAATGGAGACATGAAAAAAATGATTACTGAGTATAACACAAACTATGTTTAATCCAGCAACTTATACAAATGTAGAACTACAAAAATAGTGAATTGGGAAGGAATTATTAACTGCTGCCAGCATAATTTTATTTCAAAACCTACTTGAAAGTCAGTTAAACAAAGGTTATTATATCCTCATAGACGTAATATGAAAGTGTAATAATAAGGAAAATTCTCACCAATTTCTAAGATTTCATTTGTCATAAGATACAAAATGCAGCTAATTTCTTGCCTAAACTTTTCATCAAACTCAATGAATTCAATGATAAATAAGATCCATTATTTGCATAGTTTTGTAAACACTCGCCTTAACTAAAGAACACTTGTTATACAAAGTAACAGAAGTGGATTACTGATGTGTTGAAGTGAAAATCAATTAAACATTAACTAATAAATGTTATGTAAAGAACCTTATGTTGAAATGGTTTATAAATTAGGAGGTAATTGGCAGGAAACCGTGGACATAGGTTTCGTGCTTTTTGGCACTCGCCAGCAAGGCATATCTGCAACCTCGATGGAATTGATGTCCTGCCTGAGATTCGAACCCGCGTCACCTAGTATTTTAGTCAGCGACTTTACCACTGAGCTATTTGGGCGGCGACCAACCTCTTGTAGAACTGGCTTACATGTATTTATTGGTCTGCAGTCAGAACTAGACAACATGAAATTGGTTGCACTCCTGTGGCCAGTCAGTACTTGCATTTAACCCTAACAACCTAACTGAAAGAAAAGAAAAAGCATCATTTCTCCTTGTTCACTAACTTTCTGTTGAGAAGAGAATGATGTTTAAATCAAGCAAACATAGATACAGTTATGTAAGTGTAGTTGTTCGTCAATTACCGTTAAACACTTTGAAGGGAACTGGTTTCTTCAAAGTATAACTTCAATTTGAAACAAAAATAAGGATACTTACTAGAATTAAAAAGCGCTTAGATAGAGACTTTTTCATGCATTCCAAGAGCCAATTAAAAGCTGTATGGATTGATTCAATCCAGAACAGGGAAGAATCTTTATTCCAGTATTTTATTTGTCCTCCTAACTACCTTTGTATAGTAGGGAAAGCCAGATAACGCCTAGTTGGCATGTTCAATAAGCTTATCTAACATATTGAAAACACAGTAATGATCGATAGTAGCAAGAAGTGGAATCCGGGATGTGCATTTCGTCTTATTTGAGACACATCAGCTGGATATACCAGCCTCCCAGTGAGTAATGTTGTTCCTACAAGGATTCGAACTTGGAACTGATAGCTTCAAACATCAGAGAGTTGTCCACTAGATCACTGAGCCACGATAGTCGCTTTTTTGTGCGATGGGTATAATTTTAATATAATTTTTTGTATTTACATCGGTGACTGAACCGAATTGGTCTATCTCTATTAACTAATGGGCTGCAGTGCGGATGCGTCGATATTACTAATACTAATATTGAAGACATACCCGCAAGTATATACTTTTTGAAGGGTTTATCATCACTCATCAAATAAATTACATGTTATGTTGTATGCGTCATCTATGGCACTGGCGAGGTTTACGGTTATATATCAAAGGACTAGTACACTGCACTGCAGTCTATTCTACCCTGGTATACGGCTGTGAGATATTACCGTGAAAAATAGAAGTCAAAAAGCACTTGCAGGATTTTGATCACAGATGACTTGGCAACATTCTTCATGTCTCCTGGAATTTCACAGTTACCAGTGGCGAAGTCCGGAGAAGAGTAATAGGTAAGACACCCAAGTCGATTAATGAGATTGTGAACCCTAGTCGACTGAGAAATGTCTTAGACATGCACTGCACATAGTGATACACCACCTACCTTGATGTGCCTTGTCACGGGATGTTGGATTAGGTTGTAGGGTGGTTCACGTCGACCAGATGAAGATGTGACACCAGTCGACGAATTCGTTGACTGATG